ATAGGCCAGGTGCCAATATTCTCTTCCTAGGTAAGGGGCTTGAGCAGGTGGTGGCTGATTAACTCCAGGCTCTCTTGGATGAAATTAATTTTCCAGTTCTATTTCAATCCAGTCTCAGGCTGGCTATGAACCACTTTGGTCACCCTGACTTGGGCCAGGAAAAAGACAAATTGAGTGTGACTCTATTGTTCCTCCTGGACCTCTCAGCAGCTTTTGATACCATTGACTATGGTATCCTCCTGGGTAGGCTGTCAGAGTTGAAGTTGGGGGGCACTATATTACAGTCGTTCTACTCCTACTTGGATTACTATTTCCAGAAAGTGGTGCTGGGGATTACGCTCCTGCCTCATGATGGTTGGGTTATGGAGTCCCTCAGAGCTCCATTTTATCCCCTATGCTCTTCAAAATCTACATAAAACCACTAAGAGAGGCCATCCATGGATGTGGGCTGTGGTGCCATCAATATGCAGCTGACCCCCATCTCTCCTTTTCATCTAACACAGGTGAGGCAGTTGGTGTTCTAAACCAGTGCTCGGGCAGGATAATGGACTGGATGAGGGCCAGTAAATTGAGACTCAATCCAGACAAGTCAGAGATATTGTTTGTAGGTAGTGCATCTGTCCAGCTGACATCCACCCTAAAGAAGCAGGTTCATAGTCTGGGGTACTCCTAGATCCATCAGTGTTACTACAGACCCAGGTGGCCTTGGTGGCACAGAGTGCCTTTTATCAGCTTTGACTGATTAACCAACTGCAACCTTACCTGGATAAAAACAGACTCACAACCATTATTCACACACTGGTAACTTCCTGTTTAGATTGTTGCAGTGTGTTGTACATGGGTCTGCCTTTGAAAATGGTCTGGAAACTTCAGTTAGTTCAAGATTGAGTAGCTAGACTGCTTACCGAGGCTGGCTGATATGACTACATTATGCCATTATCTCAATGACTTAACCATTTTTCTTTACCTACTGTTTCTTTCCTGTAAAATGCTTCTTGTGCTGAGACGCATAAAGGCATTTTCGGGCACAATCTGGGGTTATATCTATTGCTGTTTTTGACCTTTAAAGCCCTAAATGGCTGAGGACCAAGTTACCTGAAGAAATCCCTTTTCCCATATGTCAGACCTTAAGGTCATCTAATTAGGCCCTCCTCCAGGTTCCTTCACCAAAGGAGGTGACGTGGGCTTTGGTGACATACCATTTATGGAATTCCCTCTCCAGAGAGGCTCAACTAGCACCCATACTTGCATCATTTTAGTAGCAGGTGAAGACCTTTTTATTTTTCTAGGCTTTTTAATTGACTTTTAATTCTTAATTTCTGAATGGCCACCATACCGCTGCCTAATTTATATAGTGGTTTTATTTTGTATTTTATTTGACATTATCTATATGATTTTATTCAGATTTTGTTTTTAGTGTCTTTTATTGTAAACTGCCCAGACAGCTTCAGCTATTGGGGAGTGAGTGAGTGAGTGAATGAATGTCTAATAGAAAACATGATAATGCCATGCATGTTGTGACATCAACATGCAGATTATGCAAATTGTATAATTTGTATGATGTCATGATATGCACTGTTACTTCCTGTATCCTCCAGATGCCCATGGCGGGAGAATAATAAGTGAAGTGTTTATGGATTCAGTCAGGCCACCTATATTCTGTTGTTTATTCTGGGGTAACACAAAATGTCTGTCTAAGGTCCAACATGAAATGATATACCAATAATTAAAAACAATGAAGGGAGAATGCTAATGGATATATAATATCATATTGTATAAAATGTTATACATATGCAAGCTGATTTTCTAGAGAAAAGGCATGGGTTATACTTAGAATCATAGAATTGTAGAGTTGGAATGTACATTTGAGACAACTGAGTTCAAGTCCTGCTTAGTTGAATGAACTCTTCATTCTCAGATGGACAGAAACATAGACAATAGATTTGGGGCTTTACTGAGAGTCTCACTCGTGATGACAACATAAAAGAACAAGGGCCTCTATAAGGGTATTTGTGCAGGAAAATATCATATTGAAGACTGGGAAATAATAACTGCTCAGTATCATATCTTCCAATCCTGTCTAGTATATATATGTCTAGTATATATATATGTCATACTGAGGAAATTCATCTCCGGAGCTGAGCAGCAGTGGGCCTTCATGGAAAGAGAGTAGTTCACAGCAATCAGTTTGATTTCTTGGCATGCTATGCAAATCATAGTTGCTGCATATCATCTAGGTGAACATGTTAGAAGACAAATTTAAGCTGCAATGTGGGAAAATCCAGGATTTCCATGCTACTGTTTTCAGGATACTGTAATTGTATACTTAAAAGCAGATGGCTTTCAGTGTGCATGCATTTAAAGTAATAAACGAGGTTTAGATTAGCTATGCAAAGGGCAACATTTTGAGGGAAGAGAAGGCTCCACTTGATTCAAAATTGAAGCAGACTGCTAATACTGAAAACCGAAAGGTCATTTGAACGATTTTTAAAATGTTTTGTTAGAGAAAGCTGGCAAGGATTTGAGATGCATCTGGTATGAGATAACTCATCCCATAGGAAATTATCTGAATATTCTGTGCTCTTCCAGTGAGATAAAAGATGACAATGAAAAGCCATTAAACTATTCAAAGGTACTATAGGAAAAAATTACATGTAAAATGACATAAAAAGTGGTACAAAATACATACATGAATATAAGCTATTCCTTGAAAAGCCAAAGACAATGTGAAGTGAATTATTAATGGGGGGGGGGAAGTATTCCAACTGTGGAAGAATAAGTGAAATGATTGCAATACTTCTTCTATGTTGAAAAATTCTTCTATGTTGTTCATGACTGTATAGATTTCTTTAGTCAACTGAATTTAAAAGCAACAACCAAACAACCAACATAACAATAAAAAATACAGTTATATACAATTAGAACTAATTCAATCTATAATTAAAGTAAAGTATTGTAGTTAATCACAATAAATAAAAATAATAATATTGTTCTTGGTGTCTAGAGCTTAACAATACTCAAATCTCAAAGACCTTCTGGAATGGCCCAAATTTAGGAGGCACAAGGCCATGAGAGTGGGAGCCATCCTTGCCTTGAGAGGAGTGGAGCCCCCACAGAGAAAGTTCACTTTTGGACACTTCCAGTTGTACCTCCTGAATGGTTGGGATCTTCATCAGGCATTCTCTATGCCCACAGACTGTGTGAGCAATGTCTATATGGGATAGGTAGTCTTGAAGATATCCAGGCCCTTTATAGGTGATAACCAGGACCTTGAATTATATTCAGAATGTATGAATAGCTAATATTGCTCCTGCAGCAATTGTGTTACTGGAAATATTGAGACTCTCTGATGACTGTACGGGCCACTGTGCTTTGCTGCAATTGAAGTTAGCAGGTGGTTTTCAAAGACAATCCATGTAAAGTGAACTACTATACATAGTCCATACAGGAGATGTCAGGGGTGTGAATGACCAACTTCAGCACCCCTGAGGTATGTAAGGCTACAATTGGTGTACCAGCCAAAGCTGGGCAAAGACTCTCATGGCCATGGCCTCCACCTGCTTCAAACAGGAGCTGTGATTCCAGGAAGACTCTGTGACCTGTTTACTTCAGCAAGGAACAAAGGTGTTTATAATTCCAAAATCAGCGAGCTTCTCAATAAATAACCACTCCATCTTTCTAGGGTTGAGACTGTGCCTGTTTCTTCCCATCCACACCCTGACAGTCTCCACATACTTTCACTGCATCTTTCATTCAGCCCATGGTGGGGATGTACAGCTGAGCATCTTCCACAAATAGACATTACGTCTCAGTATTAATCTGTGTTTTAGATCATTAGGTGCACATCTGATAAAAGGGTAAACTACCTATGAATTAATACTGAGTTGTATCTGAGATTTGGAGCTGCAGAGATTATTGAAATGCTTGGGAGCAGTAATCACAGGACAATGAAGTTCTATCTATATATTTATAGAAAATTACCTTGAATATCTGGAGAAGTCATGTTTAATTTTAGAAAATGTAATTTCTAAAAATACAGTGATTTATTGAAAGAGAGGGTCAGAAGGCTATTTAGTCCCCTAAGGAAGTTTGGGAGTCATTTAAATGTATGCAATTGATTGGAGAGGATATGAAATTTTCAGGAGGATGATAGCATCGTTAAGTTAAATAGCAGTGTAAAGGAAGCCCATAAAAATCAAGGACATTTCTTTAACATCCTTATTCAAGTGAAGAAAAAAGAAAAGATAAAAAGTGACAAAGTCAAGATAATAAGACAAGGAAATTAAAAAAAAAAAAACTTACTAACTTTTTTTCATCATGCATCTGAGGAGCTATGGCAAGTTGCTGGCCTCTACATTTGTGGAGAAAAACAACTTAGAAGAGAATATCTGTAGCTCAGGGTTGAACTGTGGAGTCCTTGGTGCTCTTGGAGCTTGGTTGTTTGCTTGCAGACATTTGCTTGCAGAAAAATGACTTAAAAACATGGCAGTAGGTTAATTAGCCTGTTTCAGTGGACCAGATCATATTGTGAAATATGGCTCCTGAAATCATAGAGTTTCTGGTAAAGTGATCCCCAAGGCCTGAGTTGTTGGAACACATAAACGTTTTCATTTCCTGACTGTCTCCTTGTTAGTCAGCAAACCAAAAATATTAGTCATATCACAATGTAAGTGTATAAGGAAAAAAACCCAGAGGATTATATAATGGAAAGGAAAATGTTATTAATAACACATAGTAGTTTGAAATAAATTAGAAACAAGCTGTTTAAGAAGGAAAAAAGTATTAATTGTCCAGAAGCAGTAAGGTTGTAATCCAGATGTGTCCGATTCAGAGCACACTGAAAATGGGCGAATACTTGATTTGGCTCAGAGATATTTTGCAAGTCAAGTTTATTTGTGTTTTGGAGCAAGCATTCCTCGCGTTCAGGAAACTCTTGAAATATGTTTGTTTGAGCTTTTTAATTTATTTTTTTACTTACAAGATGAGCCACATGTTTTTTCAACTTGAGAGAAGGACGTAGCATTCAGTTAGTATGGGAAATGTTTGTGAGCCTGTTCTATGGCCTCTTCCATTCATTGCCCTTTTATTTTCATCACAGGAAGGAACATCTAAATTTGCAAATCTGGACAGCAATGTAAAAGAAAACCAGAAGAGAACCCAGAGGCGGCTTCAGTTGCAGAAAGATATGGTGATTCTTTCTTTTTCATTTTTATCATGAGATAGTCCTGATAAAATCCCGCATCCTCAGGATGCAGATCAGACATTATTCTCTTTAAGAAATGTAGAAACAGAGCAATGGCACAGAGAACTGTTTTAGGAATTACCTAGGTACAAACCAAATGGTTTAGTTCAAATAAAATTAAGAGATTACAGTTTCCCACTTTGTGAACAAGTATGTTCAGCCAAGCCTTGCACTCACTTCCTTCCCTTTTTTCTTTCACATCTTTGTGAGGGAAAATACAATCAAAAGATAAGAGTGAACAAGTTCCTTAGATCAGTAATAGCGGATGAGTTCCTTAGACCAGAGCTTTTGCCATACACACTTGTGATTTCTTGCAGAATAACAGTTGATCCATTATCTTTGAATAATGCCTTAGATTCTTCAACCATCGAGTTTGTGTGGAGAAAAATTGAAGTTGAAATTACAGCCGAAGCAAGCTGCTTCTTCCCTTGAGCTCCATTCCATAAATTTAAAAATAAAAGATTTTAAAGAATGTATTAGATTTTTTCCCTGTTCTTCAGGGACTTTTAAATGGCACGTTTAAATCTTGTTTGTGTATTGTTTTTCTTTTTCTAAAAAAATTGCATGTTTTCCTGTATTACTTTTTCTATAAAACATCCTAAATACAATTTAGAAGAAAGAGGAGACTTATTATAATTGCAATAATACATTACCAATTTGATCATCACTTTTTCTTCCCCTGTGGAAATAAGATGACATAATCTTACAAGTGGCACTGGCATAATAGGAGCCTTCTTTTCAAAGTTTTATTTAGCCAGTCATTTTATTTTTATGTATATACTACTTCCCCAAAGCAAATTTCTTATGATGGCAAACAATGTAGTGTGTAAAGGAAATAGTATGCTGGTATAAAGTATAAGGGAAAAGAAATAAGGAGATATAAAAACATAAAAGTCTCTTAATGAAATAGTGAGTAGCGCCAATAAACCTCTCAGGAGAGGCCATTCCACAGTATCGTGTACTATTGAAATAGCTGCATTCATTTTCTTGTCGGATCACGTTTGCTGTATGAATGGTTCTTACAGCACAGCTCAACCAGCCAGAAAAGCAGCCACAGCTAGGCCAGAATCCAACTGCTCCTTCACAGATGGCCATGTCAACATGGAAAAGATCTTGAGTGAATATACGTAGGAAAGCAGTTAGTATAGATCCCCGGGCTGTAGAAGACTAAAGATCGCTGAACCACACAGGACTTGAACTGGATCCAAAGTCAGCAGGCGCTGAATGAATCTGAACTAGGTTGGTTAATCTCTTTGTGCTTTCATCCTATGCAGGGTGTAATGCGGGGCACTGTTCCTTACCTTGGTACTTTTTTAACGGACTTGACAATGCTTGATACAGCTCTCCAGGACTATGTGGAGGTAGGTTTGTAACACTTGTGCATCTGAGTATGAGGAATAGCACCACTATAATAGTTTTGCATTTGGCATATATATGAAAGCATCATCTCCATTGGGGCGGACCAAACACAGGATTTTAATTAGGACATGGAACAATTACTACCAATCATGAAACTGAGTTTACGTTATTAGAATTCTCCCAATCTAAATTTCATGCCTTGAATGAAAACAGATTCACAGGTAAGTTTGTATAGGTTGTTCCCCTGGTTAAAGCCTCATCTATGTATACAGGGTTTACAGATATCAGTGTGTGTTGTTGTTTTTTTAAAAAATGTTTTTCAGGCTAACATTAGCAGAATTTCTTCACAAATTCCACATTTTCTTTGGAATAAGGTATATTTTGATTGTAATGTATGGAATCACAGATGACTTGAAGAGGGACTTTTCTTGCAGAAGGAAGAGTAACTGACTGTGGTTTTGGTTCAGTGGGAGATGTTCATAAAAAATATTTTAACAAGTAACATGCATAGATATTTAATCGTATTTGAAATAATCACTAGATTTTTCAATTGGGATCATTAGGAGAATGATCTAAAATGTCATCCAAACTATGAGAAGAGACATATAGAAAATGAAATTGGAAAGATGTTTCAATAAATATATTAAATAAGCAGTGGAAGGAAGAGAAGAGGTCGTATGCCATGTGAGAGAATTTTTCTAAGATTAAATATTTATGGGTATCTCAAGACTTTATAGATTACAAAGATATGCAAAAATGCTCTAATGCAGTGTTTCTCAACCT